CCCCAAGAGGCCCCCCCCAGGAGGCTCCCAAGAGGCCTCCAAGAGGCCCCCCAGAGGACCCCAAGCGGCCCCAAGAGGCCCCCAAGAGGCCCCCAAGAGCCCCCAGGCCCCCAAGAAGAGGCCCCCAAGAGGCCCCCAAGAGGCCCCCAAGAGGCCCCAAGAGGCTCCAAGAGGCCCCCAAGAGGCCCCAAGGAGCCCGCACACCACGAGAGCCCGAACGACTCACACCAGGACGAAGAGCCCGAACGACTCACACCACGAAGAGCCCGAACGACTCACACCAGGAAGAAGGGCCCGAACGACTCACACCAGGACGAGAAACCCCAAACGACTCAAATCACGAGGAGCGCTTTCTCTCCCTCCTCCTCCGCCTCGTCCTTCTCCCGCTCCCCCCACAAGGAGGATGTACAAGGAGGCGGGAGGAAGGAGGAACAGGGGAGATATGCGGGGCCAAGCGGACACACGCCTGAAAAACACGACTGTCGGCATGCTTCGCAAGAGTTGCTGCTGTGAGATGGGCTGGTGGGGATACGCGAAGCGTAAAGAATTTGGTGGGGGTCTCGAAGGGGATGGGGATGGGATCGGGGTCGGTCAAACGATACCCACTGAGGCTTGTCCCCTGTGCCCGGTGGGGGTCCCAGAGCTGTTCGGTGACAGGCCGTGCGGCGACTCGGAATCCTGAGAGGTCGCACCGCACGGTCCGTCACCGCACGATTTGGGGGCCCTGGAGGCCCCAGCCGCCCGAGACACTCTCGGACTTGGAAAACGGCCCAAGTCCCAAAACCGCCTGGGCCACCTCGAATCCACACCGACTCATCACTCCTTTCGTCGGCGGCGAGGCAGAGGCGATCCGCACCCGCGTGGGGCGCATCCGGGGCACCGATCTGCAAATTCTCCGGCGTGCAGGAGAGCGAGGAGGAGGAGGAGGCACTGACTCATCACACGGTGTGGGCGCCACACCGTGTGGGCCCCCTCGATGTGGGCCCGGCAGTGCCCTCGGCGCGCCCCAGGACCGGCAGACAGCGAATCGGGATGAAGAACTCGTCCTTGGGGAAGGCCCCAGGATGCGGGAGCCGTTTCCTTCAGGCCTCGTTTCCTGCACGTGAATCCGATCAGGACGACGACGACGACGCCTGCGTTCTTCGTCCAAGATGATTTGGGGACGCTTCTGGACTTTCTCGTCGACACGGTTGAGCGCCGCTCGATAAACTGGGCAGGATGGGCGACGAGGATGACGAGCAGCAGGACGAGGTGCGGGAGAGCGGGGGGGGGGGCAGGGCTGACGCGCGGCAGGACGGAAGGAGGGAGGGGAGGGACGGAAGGAGGAGCAGCACGGGGAGAACGAGAAGGAAATAGGAGCAGGACAGGGAGCAGGGCGACAAAGAAGGCGCAGCAAGGATAGGGTTCAGCAGCAGGATGAGGAGCAGGAGGGAAACAGGGGGCACACGAGTTCGCCCTTCTCCTGCCCCTCTCTTTCCTCCTCCCTCCCTCCTCTTCCTCATCTGCCCCCCTCCCCCTTCTCTCTCCTCCATCCTGCTCCCTCGGCGACGTGACGTCGACGACGTCGACTCCGACGACGACCACGACGACGACGACCACGACGGCGGCGGCCACAACAGCGGCGGCGACGGCGTTCTCGGCGGCCGTGGCGGCGGCGGCGGCGATCACGGCAACGGCTGCGGCGGCGGCGGCGACCGCTCCGCACAGCTGGGGAGCGCGAGTCCTCCGGAGCGCGCCCGGCGCCCGCAAAGGCCTGCGCGGCAGCCCGCGCCAGGCTCGCGGCGGCTCCTCCTTCGGTGCGCCGTCCTCGTCGCCGTCGCCGTCGCGGTCACCGTGGTCGTTGCCGCCGTCGTCGAGGCGGATCCTCGAGGGGGGTCGTCGCCGTCGCCGTCGCCGTCGCCGTCGCCGTCGCCGTCGCCGCCGCCGCCGCCGCCGCCGCCGCCGCCGTCGTCGTCGTCGCCGCCGCCGTGGGGGTGGTCGTCGTCGCATACCGTGGTCGAGGAAGGAGGCCCGAGGGCCGAAGCTCGTGGCGCCCTCGAGGGCTCCACTCCGGAGCGTCGGAGGGGGGGGCGCCGCGCTGGCACGGGCGGAGCCGCACGGGGATGCCGGCCAGGTCACGCACCAGCAACAGAATCGAGAGGTCGATTTTGAGGCGGGGGGTGGGGGCGTGGTCGTGGCCGTCGCCGACGCTGTCGTCTTCGTCGCCGTCGTCGTCGTCGCCGACGCTGTCGTCTTCGTCGCCGTCGTCGTCGTCGTCGCCGTCGCCGTCGCCGTCGTCGTCGCCGTCGCCGTCGCCGTCGCCGTCGTCGTCGTGGAAGGCGAAGGCGTCGTCGAAGGGCCCATTGGGAAGATGAGGGGGAAGGGGAACCCCACCAGACTTCGGGTGGTCACCACTTCCAAACCTCCGTCTCCCCCTTCGGAGAGAGGTTCACCACTTCTCCTCATCAGTACCCCCCCCTCGCACTCGACCGGCCGCTGACCAGGAACAATGAGCCCCCTCCACAGTTCTGGTGAACGCACAAGACAAAGTGCACGTGGCAGCAAAACATGGAGCATGAGCAGACTCTCCGCGACAACTTTGCATTGGTGTCTGACGGGGGTGGCAGTGGTGGTCATCATGCGAGACAGCATCCGACGCCATTGGGAACTTGACCCCCGAGGGGCAAGACGCTACATTGTCTTTCAAAACGGCTCCAAGATGAACCTAGATACCCCAAGACGCCCTCCAATATGGCGCAAGACTGGCCAGGTTGGACCAACATGGCGTCCAGCATGCCACCAAGATAAGATGCCTCCAAGGCGGCTCAAGGATGACCGCAAGAAACCCAAATCCTTTACATATCCTGGCGAAGGGCCCACCCACCCATACACACACATATACATATATATATATACACACCTATAGATAAACCTATATATATATATATTCATACACACACCCAGCTGCGAGGAGTAGCGCAAGGCAGATGATAAGAGCGGGGAACTGAGTGCAGACCCTGCTACAGGGGCCATCGGTGGAGCTCCCCATGGGGCCGCGAAACGAGTGAACGTGCACCGAAATGTGCGCGGCAGCATGCGAAAAACCCTGCCACCGGGGCCTCCAGTGGAGCTTCTACGGGGCCACGAAGCGTCTGGTGGAGCCCCGCATGGGGGCCACGAAACGTGTGAAGGGCGCGGCAGCGGACCCTGCCACCAGGGGCCTCCGGTGCAAGCCTCAGGTGGCCCAAGAAGCCACCAATACGGCCTCATGCCAGCCAACGCTGCCCCCAAGAGGGCCACAAGACGGTCCTGGACAACCGATTGATGATACGCGACCCCGGCCTTGAGTTTCTTTCCCGCGGGCCGCCCGCAGACCTGGCTGAGATTGCCGAAGGTGGCCTCCGAGGCGGTACCGAGACGCCTCCAAGACGGCCGAGGCATCCCCGCTGCGTGCCTGCCGCAACGTGCCCGAGGGTGGACCCACGGCGGCCCGAGGCGGCCTCGCACAGGGCGTGAGAGGCCCCTGCGCGCCGCCCTTTGTGGCCTGCAGAGGGGGTGCTGGGCGTGTCAGATCCGTGAGGTCTGTCCTCCTCCTCCTCCTCCTCCTCCTCCTCCTCCTCCTCCTCGTCCTCCTCCTCCTCCTCCTCCTCCTCCTCCTCCTCCTCCTCCTCCTCCTCCTCCTCCTCCTCTTCCTCGTAGGAAGGGGCTGGCATAGCGGGGGCACCGACCTGGAGTCGGCGACACCTCGCCGACGGATCGGCGAGTGGCCCCCGACAGCGAATCCCCGCGCTCCTGGGCGGGGTGGTGCTTCGGAGCCGATGCGTGCCCTCTTATATGCCATAGTCCTCCTGATCGCTGCCTCCGAGGCCCAGGCGCATCCCGCGGGCCACACGGGCAGACCCCGGCGCATCACAGCATCACGGTCCGCCTCCGGGATGGCCAAGAGGGTCCCAGGCGGCCTCAGATCGATTCCAGGCCTATTCCAAGACGGCCCAAATGGCCCAGGCTGGCCCCAAGATGCCTCCAGGACGGCCCAGAGGCCTCCAAGACGCCCCAAGAGGAGAGGGCTCCAAGAGGCCCTCCAGGAGGCCTCCGAAGATGACAAAGCATTGCTGTCCCGAGTGTGCGCAAGGACTTTCGTATTCTCGCCTTTGCGGGCTTCCGACATCCCAAGACGGCCCCACAGGCCTCAAATATGGCCCCAAGACTGCCCACAACGCCTCCAAGAGTCACAGAGACCCAACACGGGTTAACAGGCCTCCAAGATGGCCCCGAAAGAGACCCCAAGACAGCCCAAGATACCCTCAAACCGGCCCCAAACCGCCCCAAGAGGACCCCACGACGGTCCTGTGAGGGCCCCGAACTGGCCTCCGAAGACGTTAGACGGGCCAAGAGAGCTCTATTGTTGTCTCTCTCTCTCTCTCTCTCTCTCTCTCTTTTTTTTCTCTCTCTCTCTCTCTCTCTCTCTCTCTCAGGGGAGCTCCGCGCACGTGTCGCATCCTCAAAATGGAGATCCAGCCTCCAGATTCCCAGGTCAAGGCCTGCGGGGTCTGCCACGTTCACTTGAATTGGAATGGTGCAGCCTTTTGTGAAGGGGAACTGGGACACACAAATAAATACACACAAATAAAAGGATCCCCAACATTTTCCCATATTTTCTGGGTTTTTGTCTTCCCCCCCACTTCCCATATTTTCCCATATTTTCTGGGAAATCGAGGATTAATTGTGTCTGTGTGTTTCTTTCCCTCCTGATTTTGAGCAGTGGCGACGCACAGCGAATACCAGCGCAGGACTCACAATACGAACACACGCTTGTGGCGACGCGGGGGCCACCCGCTCCCGGGCCCCATCGAGGGCGGCCGGACTCGATGGGCCTCACTCCTGCAAGAGCAAAAGAGCAGCAGAAGGCGGGGCAGAAGGGGAGAGTGAGGGAGAGGCGCTGGCCTCTACAGCCGCCCACGTCTCGCACCCGTGTCGAGGCGAAGCTTGCCTCAACCAGGAAGACGGATGCACCGAATCGCTCAGAACTGACCCTGGATAAGGGAAAGGGTCTGAGAGCATTCCTTCAGAGGGACTGCCGCCTCTGAGTGATCATCTTCTCCGAGTAGCCCACCGACGGCAAGCCCAGTGCGATCGAGGTGCCTGACGTACAAGTTTAAGTATTGGATGCCTTGATGGGTGTGTCCATGGACAACTTTCAATGATACCTTTCCAAACTGTTCCCAATTCATGCTTGCATCGACCACATCGTGCGCTTTGAAATGGCGACCACCAGTCTGCTTCGTGGAATCCACCCACGCCCCTGTGATATTCAATTCTTGGAAATACATGTCTGCGCATTTTCCACCCATTTGACGTGCCTCTGCGTCAACTCGAAGCAGCGCGGTCTCAGCAACAACCGCGTCCCGTGGAATATTGATCAAAATGTGTTTACCAGCCTTCAGCAAGTCGAACCGCTCACCATAGATGTTTTGCAGATGCGGATCCCCAACTGCAGAACTAGCCCCGCCTGCAGAACTGGCCCCCCCAAGCGTGGGGGGCGCGGGAACTGGAGTCATAGCGGTAGTCTGCTTCAGAGTAACTCCGAAGGCTGGGCTGCACGGGTTCGAAGAAAGATCGGAATAATACTGCAAGGACGCGATGACGGGAATGGTAATCCATGCGTTGTCCGCATCTGGGTACAACCACGTATCCTCGGCATAGCACTCGCCAGCCTGCGTGGTCAGACCAGGAGTACGAAATGTGGCCCCCTTGGCGGATGGGTGAGCAGTCAAGACCGCCAGGAGGCAGTGGTGGCAAGTGTCAAAAGTGCCAACGTAGACATTGGGGCCTCCCCCTACAGCCGCTCCCTGATTCCAACTGGCACATGTTGCATCCTCTCGGGAGCGGCAAAGAGGGGGGTGTCCAAGAGGGGGGGGTGCAAATCATGACCGGCGGCATGTGCGCGGCCCGGCGGGGGGGCCAGGGACGTAATGGAGTAAGAAGAGGCGCCATGAGATCTGGGGAAACACCATGGCCCACGCCATGATATCCCCCCCCCCCCTAGTCATCACCCCCCTCTTTTCCGCCCCCGATCCTCTGGCCACTCGCTGTAACCGCCGGTCAGGCCACACGGGACGAGCCCCGGGCCGGGAGGCGGGGGCAGAGGCATGGGCGTCGGGGCGGGGCCGGTCGCCGACGTCGCGGAGGTGGCCATCGTGGGCATCGCGGGGAACGTGGTGTCGCACACCAGGATCAGCTCGTTCCAGCCGTCGTCCGGGACACGCACGAAGTCGTTCGAATAGTCGCAGTGATGCCACCACGGATCCATCAGCTCCACTGCGCACTTGGCGAAGCACTCCTTCCTGTGGGCGTTCAGGTCAGGCAAGGCAATCGACCACTCCGATGGCGTGGCGTAGCGTAGCAGATTCGGGCAGATCGACGAATACTCGTTGAAAGGACGGAGTGTGGAACACCCGCCAGAGCATGGAGAAGCCCATAGAAAACAAAGTCCTGGGAGACCGTCGACCTCGTAACAAATATCCGCCAAGTCTTTTGTCCGCTGGTGCTGAACGATACTCTCGCTATCGTCTCTCGCCCGGCAGAGGTTCCAATGCGACGAAGATGAATGCCCCGTGATGGTGATTTCCGATTGGTGGTACTGCACGGTGCTGTTGAACTGGCTGAAGGAAGCATTGCCCGAGTCGGTGCTGCCCAGCGGAATCTTCATAGCTGGGTCCACTAACACCTTGCAATGGCCCAAGCCAGATCCGACAATACAGTCATCGTCCATGCTGCACGTGACATCGCCACGTGTGCGGATTTCGAGTAACCACGAACTGCCATCATTCTGCACGGTTGAGAGCAACGCAGACATGTCCGAGCCGCCAAGCTGCACAGCCTGTGCAACACGAGACATCTGGCCCCCGAGAAGCACCAAGGCCAAACATCCAGAGAGATAATACATGTCGATGATACAGTGTATGAGTGTTGAGTAAATTGTGTTGTTGGGCCAAAAAAAGGCTGAGCCACGATGCCAACCTTGAGCCAAAATGATTACGGAACGGGCCAAGAGAGCTCTAGGACTGCCCGAAAGACATGCTAGACTCCTTTAGGGACCCCCAAGGGGACCCCAGGAAGCCCCCAGGATGCTCCAAGAGGGCGCAAAGAGGCCCCGTCTTCCTCCTCGTCCTACTTCTCCTCACTTTCCACCTCCTGTCTCTTCATGAGTCCCCCCAAGGGTTTCCAACACGGGTGGGAGAACACATAGTCACAGTCCCAAAGCTGGCCAGACGTTGGTCTAAGGTTTGGACGCATAGGCGTTTCCAAAAGCCAGGGACGGCTTCGATCGCATCTTCTCGTTCATTGTCTTCTGTGATGTTGCGCATGGTAGTCAAACCCATGTGCACGGGTGAATGTGAAGCGCATGTTAAGCTCGTGTCTCGCACCTGAACCAAAGCGGCCACCGACGGCGCATTAGCGCCCCTTGAGGCTGGCATCGGGGCCTGCTAGGTCTTCTTGGCGACCTCCCTGTTGGGCCGTCCTGGGGCTCTCTCGGAGACACCGTGTCTGGCATTGTGCTGCCATGGCCCGAGAGTCCGCTCGCGAAACCACAGGTTATGTTTCTCTTGGAGGCTTCTCGGATTTGTTTGTCTCTGCTGGGAGGCAACAGCACCCACAACATCTGCCTGCTGACCCGCCAGCGCTGCCTCACTCCGCTGCTGCTGCGGCACCGGCTCTGGCACGCATCAACTCATAGAGCATCAGCTCTTCGGGGGTTCCATCTGCTGCGTGGCTCCAGATGGTCAGCTTGGCAGTGCCTGACTTTGGCTCTGCCGCCCAGAGTGCCACCGCGAGACCCCCGGTCCGAAGAGCGCAAGATGCCACGCCGCAGCCAAACGGCAGGGTTACATCGTTGTGCCAGGACGCCGCAACGGCTGCGTCGAACAGTACGTCCTGCGCAGCGAGGGAGCACCGGTCCCATCGCAGCCGGCCGCCATGCCACTGGCCGCCTGGAGAATATGGCCGCGCTCTCACGACGCTGCCAGTCCAGCCACTGCATTCGCGCAGGCTGAAAGGCGCCGCCAAATTCGCGCACTGCACAGCATTCTGTCTCGATGCAGCGATTGCGCTGCCTCCCAGCACAGATCTGATCCGCGCGCGCACAATGCGACCGTCTTCTGTTTCGACAGTAAAGATTCGTCTCCCAATCTTTTCGGAATGAC